AGATCCTTCAGTATGCTGCCTGCAAGAGACACACCTTACACACAAGGGAAAAAACAGATTAAAAGTTAAAGGATGGAAAAAAACATGTCAAACTAATTGCAATAAAAAATGAGCAGGAGTGACAATATTATTCTCTGATAAAATAAACCTTAAGGCAAAAATCAACATAAGAGATAAAGAAGGATATTATCTTATGATTAAAGGGTCAATTGAACAAGATGACATAACCATAATAAATAGCTACACTCCCAATGAAAGAGTCCCAAAATATATAAAGCAAACTCTAATAGAATTGAAGAAAGAAATAGACCAATCTATAATAATAGTGGGAAATTTTAATACACCACTTTCGAAAAAGGATAGAACAACCAGAAAAAAACTTGACACAAAGGAACTAAGCAACACAACCAACCAACTTGACCTCATAGATGTGTACAGAGCATTCAACCCAACAACAGCACAATACACATTCTTTTCCAGTGCACATGGAACGTTCTCAGAACAGACCATGTGTTAGGCCACAAAACAAGCCTCCATAAATTTACAAACATCAAAATACTACAAAGCATTTTCTCCCATCATAGTACTATAAAATGAGAAATCAACAATAGAAAGACCAAGGAAATAAAGCCAAATACATGGAAACAGAATAACACCCTGTTTAAAAACTACTGGATAGTAGAACAAATAAAAGGTGAATTTACAAAATTCCTAGAAACAAATGAGTGAAAACACAACATCTTTGGGACACAGCAAAAGCAGTGCTGAGAGGACAATTTATTATAAATGCACACATCCATAAAGAAGAAAGCACATTAACACAACATCTCCAACAATTAGAAACAGACCAGCAAAGTAAACTTACAGTCACCAGAAGAAAAGAAATAATACAGAAAGAATCAACAGGACAAGAAGCTGGTTCTTTAAAAGGATTAATAAAATTGACAAACCATTGGAAAACCTAACAAAAGAAAAGAGGGAGGAGACACAAATAACATGCATAAGAAACCACACGAGTGATGTTATAACAGAAACAATGGAAATAAAAAGGATAATGAAATTCTGAAAGCATATCTGCACCAGTAGAAGCTTTTCTTTCCATGTTATCCCCCTGCCCTCCCCTGCCCCACCTACTTCATCCTCACCCTCATCCCACTGCAGTCCACCCTCCACCCCGGACAAAAATCATAGTAATAATCATCAGTCATGGTACTTGTTTTGTTTCCAAAACTCAAAGAATTTAAATTCTAACCTGTCCAACAGCAGCAAAAAGCAAGGAAGCTGTTTTCCATTAACACTTTCATTTGCAGTTTCCCCATTGTGGTGACCCCTGTAATATTTATGAAGAAAAAGCATTACCATTTTACACCAGTCTTTATCACATGTCCAGATGCAATAGTGAAAGCTGCTTTATGTTATTTTTATTCCTTTTCTCTTCTCACTGGAAGAAATTCTTCCCCTAGTTGCAAATTTACTCAAACCTCTAGCAGTAAACTCAGCATTTCAATGTTTTTGGTGGGGTAGGTAGGGGTACTCCTGCTGCAGTAACTATAAAAGCACTATATATTTTTTTAAGTTGCCGTTGAGTCGATTCCATCATGTAATGACTTTATATAGAGTTTCTATGACTAAATATTTATGGGAGCAAGCAGCTTTCTCCCCAGGAGACACTGATGGGTTTGAACCACCAGTAGTTAATAGCCCAATGCCAAATTCACAGCACAACCAGAGCTTCTCATAAAAGCAATGTTGTTGTTTGTTAAATGCCATTGGGTCAGTTCTGACTCAGAGCCACCATGTATAGAGTTTCCAAGGAGCAGCTGGTTAGTTTGAACTGCCGACCTTATGGTTCAAACCAACCTTGTGGTCAAGCGCTTTATCCCCCAGCACCACACCAGGATAACAGATAAACTGAAAACCAGTCTGGTGTGGTTTTCCCCTACCTTATTTCCCTCCTCTGGTTTGTCTGATGCCCTGCTCAAGTTGGGATCAATCTAGTGAATTCTAACACTGCCATCACTGAGAGGTCCCCAGGACCACCTCTACAATCAGAGATTCACTAGGGCATATAGCCAGTACCCATGGCTAAGATTTACTACAGTGACAGTAAGGAGAGATGGCTCCCAGAGGAGCATGGGAGCAAAAGACCCTGGTGGAATCTAAAGGGATGCATCTGCAGTCTTCCTTCCTAGGTTCTCTCCTTGTAAGGGGTCACACAGAACTCATCCATCCCCCAGCAATGAAAATGCAGCAATATGAATACAATGTTTCTGTCCAAGGAAATCCAAAAGAGACTCAGAGCCAAAGGTTTTTTGGGGCTAGTCACATAGACCATTCCTTGCCTAGCACGTACCAGCATTCCAGACTCCAAGAAGGAGAGCAAGTATTCAGCATAAACCCTAGTATTTGCACAAGCAGTCTAGGCTCAGTGAGCTGCTCTTATCAGTTAACTGTTAGCTGAGAACAGTGTGAAAGCCAAGTTCCCAGACACCGGTCAAGGGCCAACCTTGTGAACAGGCTTCCCTAAGGCTAGCAGTCTCAGGTTCACTGTGTTAACTGTAATCTGCACAGTCCCCTGCCATCTTTTTTCCCACTTGCAATTCATTTGTGAAGAAACCAGCTATTTGTCTTGTAGAGCATCTCACATTGTGTATTTTACTTACTCCATCCCAAGGCGTCCTTTAACAAGTGTTCTGTCCCTGTATTTCCTATAAACAAGCAGTTCAAGAAGTGATCAGACTCAAGGTCCTTTTGTTGGGCACAACGGTTACGGTTAAATGTTCAACTGCTAACCAGAAGGTTGTCAGTTCAAGGCCATCCAGAGGCTCCAAGGGAGAAAGACCTTGTGGTCTGCTCCCATAAAGACAGTATAGCCAAGAAACCTTTTGGGATAGTTGTACTCTGTCACATGTAGGGGCTACAAGCTGAAAATCAACTTGACAGCATTAAACAGCTGCCGGGGAAAGATGAGAGTGTCTGCTCCCATAAAGATTTCTAGCCTTGGAAACCCTATCCAGTGTCGATATGAATTAAAACTGACCACAGCACACAACCATCACCACCAACAGCAGCGTCTAGAGTAGTTAGTTCTAGAAATTAGCATATTCTTGGTCCCCTTATTTTATTGTTATTGTTAAGTGCCGGCAAGTTGGCTCTGACTCAAAGTGACCCTGTACAGTGTTTTCAAGGAACAGCTGGGGGTGGGGGGTGGGGGAGGGAGGGAGAACAACCTATTACTAGTATAATCTGGCAGTATAAACTAAATTAAGGAATAAATTCCTCTGTGAGTTAAGTGCCATCAAGTCAGCTCTGACTTATAATAACCCTGTATAGTGTTTCCAAAGAGCAGCTGCTGGTGGGTTTGAACCACTGACCTTGTGGTTCAAACTGACTTTGCAGTCCAGTGCTTTATCCTACAGCACCACACCAGGACTCTAAAATGTGGGCTGTAGATGGCTTCACAAAGCAAATAGGGCTTAACTGGATAGGACCTTAAAGATTGTTGTCAAGTGCTGTCGAGTCGGTTCCAACTCTCAGAGACCCTTTATAGAGTTTCCAAGAGTGTCTGGTGAGTTTGATTCGCGGACCTCGTGGTTCAAACCAACCTTGAGGTCCAGTGCTTCATCCCACAGCGCCACACCAGGACTCCGACCTTAAAGATAGATCAGATTTAAATAGGTGTGAAAAGGATATGCCCCAGGCTTGGGGAGATGGTATTATCCTGTTCAGGGAGTTGTGAATAAACCAGTAAATTCTGAACAGAAAGGCTATATAAGAGGAGATTGGAAAATAAATTGGGATTCACTTACTGAAGGCCCTGGCTGCCAGACTAGAAAGTTTACCGTTCCTAGAGCACACTCTTGACCACCGATATGTCTATTGTTTCCGGTTCCCCAGCCACCACAGCATGTTGCACTAGAATAGGACATCTGAACTGTGCTGCCAGACAACTCCTAGAACAAAATGTAGGGGACGCTTAAGGGGATGTGGGTTATAGATCGGGAATAAGTGCTTACATTTATCTTTTTAATTTCTTCCTGAGAGGCGGGAACGCCAAAGATGGTGGTTGAGTATTTTGTGTGGCTAATGCGCCCTCTAGTGTTTAGGCCAAGTTCTGAAGCTTCTTTGAGCTGTACCTTTGAATTGACTCCCAGTGAACTGCTCCATAGGGTTTCCTAGGCTGTCATCTTTATGGGGGAGTTGGTTCCAACTCATAGGGACCATGTATAGGATTTTTGAGGAGCAGCTGGTGGGTTTGAACCACTGACTTTGTGGTTAGCAGTTCGGTGCTGATCCTGCATCATCACACCAGGACTCCTGAAGCTTCTTTGTTGTTGTTAAGCGCCATGAGTCATTTCCAACTCACATCTGTCCTGCATAGGGTTTCCAAGGAGCAGCTAGTGAGGACAGGAAATGATGTCTGAATTGAGAACCTTATTGTAGATATTGTTAAGTACCAATGAGTCAGTTCCAACTCATAGTGACCCTATACACGATTTCCAAGCCTCATCTTTCTCTCATGGATCAGCTGGTGGTTCAAATTGCTGACTTTGTGGTTAGCAGTCCAGTGCTTATCCTGGAGAGCCTACAGTGCTGCTGTAGATGTTGTTTGGCCATCAAGTTTTGATTCATAGAGTTTCTAGGCTATAATCTTTATGGGAAGGAGCTCTGGTGGCGTAGTGGTTATGAATCAAGCTGTGAACTGCAAGGACAGAAGTTCGAAACTACCAGCTGTTCCACGGGAGAAAGATGAGGCTTTCTGCTCCCGTAAATATTTACAGCCTCGGAAACCCTGTACAGGGTCAACTATGATTCAGAACCTACTCCACAGCATATAACAAGAATCTTCAAGGAAGCAGATCACCAGGGTTTTCTCATGCAAAGCAGCTGAATAGGTTCCAGCCGTCTGACCTTTGGGTTAGCAGCTAAATGCTTCACCTAACACCACTAGGGCTCCTTAAAAACCCTGCTCACTGTTTCCCTTCCTTCTCTCACCTCAGGGTATCGCAGGCACAGATGTAGCAAAGGAGGCATCTGATATCATCCTAACAGATGACAACTTCACCAGCATCGTAAAGGCAGTAATGTGGGGCCGAAATGTCTATGACAGCATCTCCAAGTTCCTTCAGTTCCAGCTCACTGTCAATGTGGTGGCTGTGATTGTGGCCTTCACTGGAGCCTGTATCACCCAGGTGAAGGAGTGAGGGGTGGGCTGAAATGGGGCATGAGGTAAAGTGCATCTATTGAGGAGCAAGAACCAGGGTTTCCCCAGTGGTACTGGAGCAGAGTTAGCTCTCCTAGAACCGCTGTCTCCATCTGTTTATATAGGGTAATAGTAATTATCCACCATTTATTTTTTACTTACATTATCAGCCACTGTGATGGACACTTATTCTTCACAAACAACCTTGGAAAGTAAGTATCCATATTTTATAGATAAGAAATCTGAGGCTAAAAGAGGTTATGTAACTTTCTCAGGGTCACTTGCTAATAAGTGGCAGAGCCAGGATTCAAAGTCATCTAGATGGGTAGTCAGAGCTAGGCCATCTCAAGAGTCAGGCGGAGCTGATGCGTGAGGGGGAGTGATTGCTGAAGAAAGCTGAAAGGATTGGTTCTCCTTCCCACCAGGACTCACCACTGAAAGCTGTGCAGATGTTGTGGGTTAATCTAATCATGGACACTTTTGCCTCGTTGGCCCTGGCCACAGAACCTCCAACAGATGCATTGTTGAAGCGCCGACCCTATGGCCGGAATAAGCCTCTGATCTCACGTACTATGATGAAGAACATCTTGGGCCACGGAGTCTATCAGCTCACTGTCATCTTTCTCCTTGTCTTTGCCGGTGAGTCCCAGATGGGGGTGGGTCTCGTGGGGTAGGTGGACATGGGACCAAGGATGACAGCCCAAGGAGAGGAAGCAACTTGAAAATAAGTGGAACTTGAGACGAAGGACAAGAGCAGCTTCACTCAGAGTGTTTTATGCACCAGGCTATCTAGTGTACGCCCCTTAGGAAGCTCACAAGAGTGGGGTTATGGATTGAATTGTGCCATCCAATATGTGGGTTGTGAATCCTAACTCTATACCTGTGGCTGTAATACCATTTGAGAATGGATTGTCTTTGCTATGTTGAGAGGTCTACCAATGTAGGGTACAATTGAGATATAAAATGAGGAGATGAGACAGAAGAAGTGAGCAGAGATGGGGGAAGAGCTGCCAAACCTCATTAAGATTGCTCAGGAGTGGGAACTCAGAAGAGATGAGAACTTTCCGCTAGAGCTCACAGACAGAGAAAGTCTGCCCCTAGAGCCAGCCCCATGAACTCAGATTCCTAAACCATGAGAGAGTAAATTTCCAACCGCTGGGGCAGGTTGCAACTATATAGCTTTGTTATAGACATGAATATGGAAGGAAGCTCACCATATATAAGACTGAAGCCTATGCCAACTGATCCCAGCCTTCAAAACCTTACTACCAAGCTATGTTCCAAAAATGCGAATGTCAAGGGGGCATACTGCCAGAGGGCATCAGGTGTCAAATTTCAAGGACAGTAAAACCTGCAAAAGCCAGGACCTATGTATGGCAGAAACCTGTCAGCAAAGGAAATGATTGGATTAACCCACAAGGCAAATGTTGTTGTTATGTGCCATGGAATCGATTCCAACTAATAGCGGCCCTGTACAGGGTTTCCGAGGCTTTAAATCATTACGGGAGCAGAAAGCTTCATCTTTCTCCCATGGAACAGCTAGTAGTTTCGAACTGCTGACCATGAGATATTTGCCACCAACAACAGAAAAGTGGTCTGTCAAAGGCGGAAAACTTATGAGACCCAGATCATCAAGTTCAGCCTGCACAGGTTTCACTGTACTTGATAACCAGCTTAGTGCACATGCCAATTATAATGGATACCAGCTTTGAGCACCAGTATGGCCATATCAATGAGTTCTGGCTCTCCCCAAGCCCTAGTGGAGACCCTTCTCATCCCCCAGTGCCTCCCTTTTTTCTCCCTACTAGGTGAGAAGTTGTTTGACATTGACAGTGGGAGAAAGGCACCTCTACACTCACCACCCAGCCAACACTACACCATCGTTTTCAACACCTTTGTGCTGATGCAGCTTTTCAATGAAATCAATTCCCGCAAGATCCATGGAGAGAGGAACGTCTTCTCAGGCATCTTCCGCAACGTCATCTTCTGTTGTGTGGTCATGGGCACATTCATTAGCCAGGTGAGTGGAGGAAGATCTGGGAGGAGACAAATCAAGCTGGAAACCAGAATTCCCTACGTACTCAGGAAGAGGAGTGAGGAGTCCTGGCGACTGAGGTTATAGGTTGAATACTCTGGGGTTCTCTATTTGCTTCCATTTGCACATTGCTATGTCAGGTGTCCTAGTTCAAGGCTGCATGTTGGCAGAAAATCAAATAAGACTTGTAAACTCCTTTCATTATATTTAGAAATTGCACAAAATGCCCAAGAGGAGGACCACTCTCTTCTAGCCCCTGCCAGCACACATGACATGTATTTGCACATGTCAAAAAAAACAGTATGGGTTCTCTCCCATCCCTGTCCCTTTGTTCTAAAAGAGTTTGTTATAGAAAATGCAGTGCAATTCATAAAGAAAAAGAAGTAATGGACTGGCTAATACATAGTAGACAGAATCCTGATATAGCGCTGGTGGGTTAGTGTGCTGCACTGCAAGGTCAGTTTGAACCACAAGGTCAGCAATTCACGCTTACCAGCCACTACTCAGAAACCCAATACAGGTTCCACTATGAATTGGTACCAACTCGACGACATTTAACAACAACAATAATACCTAGTAGACAGAGAAAACCTGGCTTGGGCTCTTCCTATGGGAACTGGGGTAAAGGGTATGGCTACACTGGTGGTGTAAGGATCCAGCCCCTTCCATGTTGCCCTGGTCACAGGTATCCTAAAATGTTTGAGAGATGTGCTCACTCTTGGACCCACAAACAAAAGAGCTCCTGCCTCGCTCCTCAACAAGATGCTTCCCTGACTTGGCCCCATCCCAGATTCCTCTTCTCCATCACTGTTCCTTCCCTTTGTAGTTCAGGTCATGATGTTCATGATAGTCACAAGAAGTTTCCTCCAGGTCTTATGCTCATGATTGTCATAGTGTCTATGTCTCTCTCACACTTTACAGTATCTATGATGGCTTTCCTTCTAGATTTCTCTGTCCCCCTCAGCAGGCAGATCAGGGCTTGCACCAGGGCTTGTAGACCGTGGCTGAAGCGCTGGCTAACTATCACTTGCCTTGATGGTGGCTGTCCCTTTCTCTGTTGCAGATTATCATTGTGGAATTTGGGGGTAAGCCCTTCAGCTGCACAAGCCTCACCCTGTCACAGTGGTTTTGGTGTCTCTTCATTGGGATTGGAGAGCTGCTATGGGGCCAGGTGAGTTTGGGCACCTGCTCTCCATGGTTCCACACAGCCCATGGGCCTCCTATGCTCCACGTGAGAGGGAACCAGCCATGGTAGACACGCCCTGCCCTGCTCTCCATTCTTTTCTTCCCACCCACCTCCCAGATTTTACATGACCCCATCTCATAGGATCCAAGGGTGGAATAATCACAAACTTCAGATCACTTCTCTAATCATACCTGGAGGCAGGCAAATCCTTGTTGTTGATGTGTGCCATAGCTTTTCTGATACATAAGTGAAACTTTTCAGTGTAATTTTGCTAAGAAATTAAGGGGGCTCAGAAGTAGAATTCCTCCCAGAGGCACCTTGGAATAAATAAATACTCATTTAAAAATCAGCCACTGAAGCCTTTGCACTGCATAAGACCATAGGTGGAATCCAGAACCCCATCCAGAATCGTCTGAGGTGGGAAATTTCCACTAGAAAGGATGAGATGACCAGCCTGGAGCAGCTAGAAGAACAGAAGATACTTCGTGAAAGAAAGACCTACAGGAAAAATCAGAAACGATAATGGCAGTTTGAGTGATTACTACAAGAACAAATAAGCTGTTTGCCTGGGAGCCATCAAGGCAAGTGGTCGGTCCCCTCAGAGCAAACTCCCTTCCAAGACTAAGACTCAAGGGAATACATGAGCAGGCATGTGGTCTAGCTGGTGACCACGTTGGTCACCGGTAAGAGGGGAAAAATAGCATTGAAGTTGGGAGCTAAGTCCGACCACATTCAGTAGACTCCTGTGAACCCAGTTGGACACCTGGATAGCCAGCAGTATGGCAAGACCCAGGGACTCCTGGGCCCAGAGGCAGAGACATGGCCACAGAGGACTAGAGCAGAGAGTGGAGCATCAGCTGATATAAGTGAGGAGAGATGCACAAGGACACCCATACTTGCAGATAACACCCCACTTGACCTGGCTTCAATGGCTGGATGATCAGAACTCGACTAGAAGAAAAAAGAGCGGGGAAAGAAAAGAGTAACCCACTACAATTGGATGAACTTGACCTATACTTAAGGATGTAGTCACTCAAAAAAGGGAACAAATCTTTACAGCGAGGATCATTCCCAACCCCTTGGTACACAGGGTTGACAGGGATGGGCAACTTGGACATTGGCTACCCAAAATGAGGGGGGGAGGGGGAGTTATAAAGGTAAGAAGTGACTGGCTTACAAGCTTTCAAGAGGGAGCCTAGTTCCAGATGGGGCAGAGGTAGGTAGAATCTCCACTGAATGGTTTCCAATCTGTTGGGACCGGGTTGGCGAAAGGAAATGGGGACAAGACTCTTGTGGTACAATAGTGAATAATTTCCATCAGGACTGACTGTAAGGGTCGGAATTGTTTCTTGACAAAAAGAGGGGAGTGATTGATTTTGCAGTACAGGAGCGGAGGTCCCTGGGACCATCAAATGAGAAGAGTGGAGAGTGGGACCCTACCCAGAGAAGCAGTAACGCCAGGAATGGAGACAGAGATGACAATGTGGACAGATGGAGTGGCTGGGGACACTGGACTCAGGGAGGGAGAGGGGCTGTTTGCTGATGGCCAGGTGCAGGCCTGTGGAGTATACCCTTTGGTTATTTGATGGTGCATGAAGGGGATTATAATCATTGCAGTGAAACGAAATACAACAGGATGGATATAAAACTGATGTTCTCCCATGTAAACCCACATAATTCACAATAAAAACTTCAAAAAAAAAATCAGCCACTGAAAATTCTAGAGAGCACCATTCTACTCTGAAGCACAAATAGGTTTGCCATTAGTAGGAATCGATTGGCTAACAATTGGTACTGGTTAGAAGTAGAACTATTTACAAAGCTTATGTCATTATTTTAATGAACTGAATCCTGGCCATAGGCGGCTCTGCTGTCATAGTTTAGGGCTCCCAGGTCTCTTCTGTTTCTCATCATGTCCTGATTCTGTCACCTGACAGAGATTTACAAAATTTCTAGAGGAATAAGATAGCCTATAGTTCAAAGCCTGCACCCTGAAGCTGAATCCCAGTTTTCTTCTTCACAAGTCAAATCACCTCAGACAAGTTACATAAACATTCTGTGTCTTGGTCGCCTCAACTAAAGATAAGTGTTGTTAAGTGTTGTTCATCAGTAGATGAGTTATTATACAGAAAAGACTTAGAACACTGTCTGATACCGTGCATGTTGTTGTTAGGTACTGCTGACTCAGTTCTGACTCACAACAACCCAGTGTGTAACACAAAGAAACACTACCCGTTCCTGTGCTGTCTTCACAATTGTTCCTGTGTTTGAACGTATGGTTGTAGCCACTGTGTCAGTCCATCTCATTGAGGGTCTTCCTTTTTTTTCACTGGCCCTCTGTTTTCCCTGTCCTTCTCTAGGGACTTGTCCCTCTTGGATCAAAACACATGTGAAAAGGTCTCTCCATCTCTGTTTCTAAAGAGAATTCTGGCTGTGTTTCTTCCAGTACAGATTTGTTCCTTCTTATGGAAGTCCCTGGTATATTCAGTATCCTTTGTCAACACCATAATTCAGAAGCTTCAATTCTTTCCCAGTCTTCCTTATTTGTTGTTTAGTTTTTGCATGCATATGAGCCAATTGAAAATAGGTCAGGCACACCTTAGTCCTTAAAGTGGCATCTTTGTTTTTTAATACTTTAAAGAGATTTTTTTTTTCTGCTATAGCAGCAGATTTGTCAAATGCAATACATTGATTTCTTGCTTCAATGGGCATTGATTACGGATCCAAGTAAGATGAAATTCTTGACAACTTCAATCCTTTCTCCTTTTATCATGGTGTTCTTATTGAACCAGTTGTGATGATTTTTGTCTTCTTTATGTTGAGGTGTAAACCATACTGAAGGCTGTGGGCTTTGATCTTCATCAGTAAGCGCTTCAAGTCCACTTCACTTTCAGCAAGCAAGGTTGTGTCATCTGCACATCACAGGTTGTTAATTACTCTTCCTCCACATTCTTCTTCATATAGTCCAGTTTCTCAGATTATTTGTTCAGGATACAGATTGAATAAGTATGGTGGAAGGATACAACCATGATGCACACGTTTCCTAATTTTAAACTATGCAGTATCCCCTTTGTTCTGTTTAAACGACTGCCTCTTGGTCTATGTTCTGAAATCTCCATTCTTTGCAATGTTATTCCATAATTTGTTATAGAACGTTGTAAGCATTCAGTAGATGATAACTACTCATAGTAGTATAATATCACCAAGTCTAGTAAGAGTTTCATTCCTTCACTAATGCTTCTTGGTAAGTCCCCCTTGTCCTCAGCTCTGGCCTGGACTGTACTTCTGCCTAGACACTTCAGATCTCTGTTGATCGTCTGGGATGCCCATCTATCTGGCTAATGGAGGTTTTGCACAAACTGATCCCAAAGAGCCCTCCCTGGGGCTGCAAACCTTCCCCCATGGACCTGCTAGTTGTTTTTCCTACACCTCCTGGACGTCTCCCCTAGTAAGCCCCATCCCAGCTCCTAATCTGGTTCCTTCCATCCTGTTCTGTTTGCTCCCTAAGCAGCTTTAAACTTGAGTGAAGCTTGGCTATTTCACCTACTGTTTTAAATCACTATCTGGAACTGGTCTCACATGTGACCATGTGCTCTTGATGCCAGATAACACCCTCCATTTGTCTTACATTCAAAATCAGAATTTTTACACTTCCCATTTCAAAACTCTAGGCTCCATAGTGGACAACACACACAATCCCTCTTTTCCATCTGAACTATGTCTAATCCTAATCTTGTTTATAAGGGGAACTCTCTAATAAAGTTGTCAAGGATTTCATTTTACTGAGCTCCACAATCAATGCCCATGGATCAGCAGTCAGGAAATCAAACAATATATTGCATTGGGCAAATTTGCTACAAAAGATCTCTTTAACATGTTAAAAAGCACAGATGTCACTTTAAGGACTACGACAATATGCCTGACCCATCATGTTATTTTCGATTGCCTCATATGTATGAGAAAGCTGAACTATGATTAAGGAAGGCTGAAAAAGAATTGACTCATTTGAACTATGGTGTTGGAAAAAAATGTTGAAATTACCATGGACTTCCAGAAGAACTAACAAATATGTGTTGGAAGAAGTACAACCAGAATGTTCCTTAGAAGGGAGGATGGCGAGACTTCGTCTCACACACTTTGGTCATGTTATCAGTAGGGACCAATCCATGAAGAAGGATTTCCTGCTTGTAAAGGATCAGTGGGTAGGAGGAAGACCCTCAACAAGATGGATTAACACGTTGGCTGTAATAATGTACTCAGACATAAGAATGATTAGGATAGCACAGAACCAGGCAGTGCTTTGTTGGAACTAACTCCATAGCAACTAACAGCAACAAGCTCACTCAGTGATTTACTTTGAACTGACAGTCCAACTTACTGCTCCTTGTCTTCTGATAATGCCCATGTGTCCCTTCTTCCATGGCCTGGCCTACCTACTTCCTCACCCCAACCCTAAGAGAAGTTTCGGTGTCCTTTCACTATAGTGTATAGCATAGAAGTTACTTTACCTGTGGAAGCTAAGAAAAGGGTCATTCTTTCCTAACACCCCTTTCTATTTACCTCTTTCCTATACAAGCACTATGTGTCTGTCCTCACCCCATACTTGTTTTCCCCAGGTCCTGGTCTCTGTCCCTTCCTACCATACAGTGCATTATAGTTCAGTTTCCCTTTAAGTGCAGATGGGAAGGAAGAACTGAGACAGAGTTGGAGAATGAAGTATATAACTAGGCAGATGACTGGTTGGTTACTAGGCAATAAGCTCTCCTTTGAATGTCCAATTAATACAGAAAACCTTCCACTGGGAATGACCCCAGGTAGGCACTTTGTGACAGTTTGCCAAAAGGATCAGTGATGTCTCCTCATTGGTCCCCCAAGAGTGGTCTACCCCAGGACCTGGGTCATGTCAATTGAGTGACCACTCTCCTCACCCTGAATCTACTGCCTCCCCTATATTTGCACTTATTCTCAGGTCATCTCTTCGATACCTAACCGGTCCCTGAAGTTCCTGAAGGAAGCTGGACATGGCACCGCCAACGAGGATATCACCAAGGATGCCGAGGGGCTGGATGAGATTGACCATGCCGAGATGGAGCTGCGCCGAGGCCAGATCCTTTGGTTCCGGGGCCTGAACCGTATCCAGACTCAGGTACCGTGACAGTGACCTTTTCTCACCCTACCTCCCCATATTGGGAGGTGTGGGTGGGCAGCAGCTTTTGGTGGCCATGTCTCTCCCCTTCCTAAGGTTCCTTACTTAGGCAGCCCTAGATCCCTAGCTTCAGATCAGATAAGAGCAGAGGAATGTGAAAGGAGAGTCATCAAGGGAACCTAAAGGATGGGACCTTAACCGTTCACCTAAGCCTTTAGCTTAGGGCTGGCCCTATAGCCCACTCCTCTAGCCCCTGCTGGGTGGACAGACTTCCTGCATAAGGTCTCTTGCTAGCACTAGACCTAACCCCAGATCCCAGAGAGGGAAATGTTCAGTCTTTCCCTACCACTCAGAAGGAATGGGGTACTATCTCTATGTCAGCTCCCCAGCTAACACTTCATGAATCCTCAAGCTGCTGTTATGGTAATGCAGATGCTGTCTAGAGGGAGCTTTGTGTTGTTTAAAAACAAAACAAAACAAAAATCCACTCTCTTTTTTTCTTCCCCACTCCAAATTTCAGGCCAGGATGGGGAATTTGATGGCTAAGCATGTATGTATAAATAACCAGAGTATTTCAAGGCCTGAATATCTTTTGCAGGATCCAGGCTTGCTTTCTGAAAAGGAAGATGCTATAATTCCATCTGACCTTTTCCCTCCTTGTGGTTTCTCAAATGGGATGGAAGCTCTTCTGGCAGTCCTGAGTCCCCTGCCAAAAGCCCTAAGCCACTTTTTTTTTTTTTTTTTAAACTCCCATTCAGCAATTGTCACTGCCTTCTCCTGGGTGAACAACAGGTCTAGGCATTGGTCATTCTCACCTTTGCCCCATGTGCCTTTATTGGGTCAGTACTCAGTGAAATTCTCTATCTCAAGAATCTGTGATGCCTCAAGATCTCCAGGGGGCTCCAGCGAATAAGCTTACTTCTCTCTGCTGGTGAGCTAGAGATCCCAGAAAAAAAAGTTTCACTCTGAAAGCTGTCCTTTGTAAACAGCTTAGAAAGTTCTCCAGTCTACTCCATCCTTCAGTGCATTAGGAAAATAGGAGAAATTAGTATCCTAAACCAAATCTCTGATAGGAACCTGTCTCCCTATGGAAAAGATGACAGGTGGACAAGTGGAAAAGGGCTAGATAGGGAAACACGAGGCTCCTTACCTGTTCTCTAGTTTTTCCCAGGAAGGGAAATTCCAGAAGGACCTGTACAAACTGCCTTATGGCACTCAGAGTTCCCAGTTGACCCTGCCCTGACCCTACTCCAGGCTGCTGAGTTTATCAAGAGCAAGGGTCTCATGTGCTCATAGAACCTGGTGCCTTTGACCCCTGTCTCCAAGACACTCAGTGCTTTCCTATAGGCCTGCTCTTTTCAAAATAACCTGCCTTTGCTTTTCTTCCCTTTAGGATCACCTGTATTCTTCCACTGTGTTGGGGGTTTTTTTTCCTAGCCAGGATTCCCTTGTTCCAGTGTCTTCCGGCTCCTTGCCAGCCTTCTCTCCCGAGGGCCTGAAATTCATGGTCTTCCTTCCCCTCCGCTCCCAAGTGCCATTCCCTCAACTGTTTGCCGCTCTGCTTGGTGTTGCTGGCTGGTGCCTACCTAGCTTTAGGTACACTGTGTTTCCCTCCTGGAACATGAGGCACCAAAGGCAACCTGCTCAAGATACCATCATGACCAGAATCTGTACACCAGGCTCTGAGCAGATGAGGCTGGCTATACCAACCTGCATCCTAGACACTTGAAGTCCCTCGTCTGGCATTGTCTGGTCAGCAGGGTTCCAACAAAATCCCCAGCCATTTGGTTGGTCCTTGTCATTCTCATCACATTTGTGACATAGGAGAGTTGCCAAGCTATTATACAGGCCTGGATGGGTTATCCCATTTCCACAGTTCTGAGCTGTTCTTCCTCTAGTCTTTCCCTTTAGATTCTAGCCCTCATTCTCTCTCTCGCTCTCTGTCTTTCTCTATCTCTCTCTCTCTCTTTCTTTCCTTCTTTTGTTTCTTTCCTGCTTTCTTTTTAGTTTTTTCCAGAGATAAAAGCACTGGAAACTGGACAGTAAAGGCTAGAATCCTGGGAAGGTATACCTGGGATCATATTTTGTGGTGGGGGTTGGGATGTTGTAACCCTAGTAAAGAGTGAGGAAAGGTACCTGTCCCAATAGCCCTTCTTCTGTGTAACTGGAGCCCTCCCGTGTGTAAACCCTTTCCTCCGGCAGGATCAGACTCCTGGGTCCCCTGGTACTAAGACTGTATAACACGATGAAAGGATTGTGTTTAAGCTCATGCTTCAATCTGAATCCAGAAACAAACTCTAAGCATTTTATGACTTCTCAGGAAGCTTTAGAAATAAAAATAAAGTGCCTGTTTCCCTACCCCTTCCCTCCAAGGAAAATGAAGTAAGATGAGTGCTCCTGGTAAATTTATCCACAGTATTAAGGCATAGTTGTAAGACTGTTCTACCAGAACAATGAAGGACAAAGAAATTCCTTTTGATTCATTCCAGGGATGAGAACGGTAGGTTTAACTGAAGCCCCAGATCATGGTTCTTGTTGGAAATTAATGGCATTAATTGCCTCTATCTCTGAAAAGTTGTTGTTAAGTGCCATCAAGTTGGTTCCAACTCATAGCAACCTTGCATAGGGTTTCCAAGGAGCAGCTGGTGGGTTTGAACTGCCAACCTTGGGGCTCGAAGTCCAGTGCTGATCCTACAGCGCCACACCAGGAGTCCGGCTCTGAAGAGTTGTTGTTGTTGTTACCTGCTATGGAGTCGGTTCTGACTCACAGCCACCCTGAATAGGATTTCTGAGGCTATAAATCTATGCATCTTTCTCCCGCAGAACAGCTGGTAGTTTTGAACTGCTGACCGTGAGATTAGCAGCCTGATTAGTAACCACTACATAGGACATCAAAAATCTGAGACTATAGGGCTGGACCAGCCTATTACACAAAATTTCTCACCATTACCACCAATAACTAGGGGCAGACTGTGGAACAGACCATCAGTTGCTCATATGCAAATTCAAACTAAAGCTGAAGAAAATGAAAACAAGTCCACAAGAGCCAAAATATAACATTCAATATATCCTACCTGAATTTAGAGATCATATGAAGAACAGATTTGATACATTAAACACTAAAGACCGAAGACCAGTAAAGTTGTGGGATGACATCAAGAACATCATACATGAAGAAAGCAAAAAGTCATTGAGAAGAAAAGGTCAAAATGGATGTCAGAAGAGATACTGAAACTTGCTCTCCAGTGTAGAGTTTCTAAAGCAAAGGGAAGAAATAAGGAGGTACAAGAGCTGAACAGAAAATTTCAAAGCTCAGCTTGAGAAGATAAAACCAAATATTACAACAAAATATGCAAAGATCTGGAATCAGAAAACCAAAAAGGAAGAACATGGTCAGCATTTCTCAAGCTGGGGGAACTGAAGAAAAATTCAAGCCTCAACTTGCGTTATTGAAAGATTCTCTGGGCAAATTATTGAATGATGCAGAAAGCATCAAGAGAAGATGGAAGGAATACACAGAGTCACTGTACCAAAAGGAAATGGTTAATGTTCAACCGTTTCAAGAGGTAGCATATGATCCAGAGCCAATGATCATGAAGGAGGAAGTCCAAGGTTCATTGAAGGAATTGGCAAGCAACAAGGCACCAAGAATTGATGGAATAAAAATTGAAATCTTTCAAGAAAGTGAGGTGGCACAGGAGACACTCACTCATCTCTGCCAAGAAATTTGAAAGACAACTATGTGGCTGATTGATTGGAAGAGATCCGTGTTTGTGCCCATTCCAAAGAGAGGTGACCCAACGGAATGAGGAAATCATCGGACAATCTCTTTAATATCCCATGAGAGTAAAGTTTTACTAAAGGTAATACAGAAACGGCTGCAAGCATTCATTGACAGAACTTTCAGATGTTCAAGCCAGATTCAGAAGAGGCCGTGGAACAAGGGATATCACTGCTGATGTCTGATGGATCTTGGCTGAAAGCAGAGAATATCAGAAAGATGTTTACCTGTGCTTTATTGGCTATGCAAAAGCTTTCAATTGTGTGGATCATGACAAGCTATGGACAACATTGCGAGGCATGAGTATTCCGGAATACTTAATTGTGCTCATGAGGAATCTGTACCTGGAACAAGAGGCAGTTGTTCAAACAGAACAGGGAACACTGAATGGTTTAAAATTAAGAAAAGTGTGCGACAAGGTTTTATTCTTTCACCATACTAATTCAACCTGTATGCTGAGCAAATATCCAAGAAGCTGGGTTCTATGAAGAAAAACGTCGCATCACGATTGGAGGAAGACTTATTAACAACCTGCGATAGGCAGATGATACAACCTTCCTTGCTGAAAGTGAAGAGGACTTGAAACATTTACTGATAAAGATCAAAGAGCACAACCTTCAGTATGGATTACGTCTCAATGTAAAGAAAATAAAATCCTCACCACTGGACCAATAAACAACATTCTTATCAATGGAGAAAAGATTGAAGTTGTCAGACTTCATTCTTCTTGGATCAACAATCAACACTCATGGAAGCAGCAGTCAAGAGATCAAACAACGCATTGCATTAGGCAAATCTGCTACACAAGACCTTTTTAGAGTGTTGAAGAGCAAAGATGTCAGCTTGAGGACTAAGGTGCGCCTGACCCAAGCCATGGTATTTTCAATTACCTCGTATGCATGTGAAAGCTGGACAATGAATAAGGAAGACTGTAGAAGAACTGATGCTTTTGAGTTGTGGTGTTGGAAGAGAATATTGAAAGTGCCATGGGCTACCAAAAGAACCAACAGATCTGGGTTGGAAGAAGTGCAGCCAGATTGCTCCTTGGAGGCCAGGATGACCAAACTCTGTCTCTCATACTTCGGACATATTGTCAGGAGGGAGGAGTCTCTGGAAAAGGATATCATGTTTGGTAGGGTGGAGGGTCAGAGAAAAAGAGGAAGACCCCCAACAAGATGGATTGGCCAAGTGGCAGCATCAATGAACTCAAGCGTGGCAATAGTAGTGAGGTTGGCCCAGGGTTGGACAGTGTTTTGTTCTGCTGTGTATAGGGTCACTATGAGTCGGTACCAACTTGATGGCACCTAACAACAACTACCACCAATAACCACTCTTTCTCCACCTCCTTCAGTCTGACTATTGAGTTAGATGATCAGCATTTCTGCTAGACATTTGAGGACCTTCAAAACACTCATGTAGCTAGAGACATCTGTCTAATGAGCCTGGCCACTGTGTTCTGGAGCTATATTCTCAGGGCCCTGTCTGCTTGAGCCCAGGGAAAGGGTGTCTTAGAGAACAAACCCAGACAAACTGAGCCCAACAACTAATGGTCTAGGAGTCCTTCTACCATGACCAGCTATGTATGGGCTACTACACTGCCTCTGTTATTTGTTCAAATACATGAGTCATTTTCCTGGAGATTCTGAGGCACCTGAGTCGAGTCTCAACATTTGATAAAACATTACTTTTCCTTTCATTTCTTAAATTGCATGTCTGATTTTTAAGAATTCAGGTCAAAAGCAATGCCAAAGTTCTCACTCTCTGTTGGGAGTTGTAAGTGGGGGAATCCCTTTCAGTTTTAGATGTTCTTAGACCTAAATTTTAGATGCTCGTTGATACCTAAAATATGGGCTAAAGGGGATTCTGTCTGGGTGTTTGGACTCCATGTCTAATTGTTCCCTAAATGATGTATAATATGCAATTAACCTTTTTCCCCCTCTCTTCACCTTTGCTTTGTGTGTGGGGGAACCTCTTGCTTTCCATCTCCTGTCCCCCTTTTCCCAGCTCCTTCCATGCCCCCTTCCCCAGCCCTCCAACATCCTTCCCTTCCTCTTTCCTCACCTCTCCCTGACTGTGGAGAAAAGCTGTCTCACTCTCTGATTCTTTGCAGATCGACGTAGTTAACACATTCCAGACGGGAGCCTCTATTAAGGGAGTCCTAAAACGACAGACCATGGGTCAACAGCTTGATGTAAAACTTGTTCCTAGTTCATCCCATGTAACAGTTGCACCAATCAAATCTCCCCCCACCACTTCTGTTGCTGCAGCTGCTGCTGTTTCATCTCCTACTCTGGGCAGTGAGTGATAGTCTATTCTGATGCATGATTTGCTAAAATGACCACCAGAGAGCACGTGGCATTCACTTTAACCAACCATGGTTATCTTTTCCTTTGGTTATCTGTTCTTCTGATTTAAAGGAAGAAAAGAACAAAAACGAAAGAACCCCACTCTAAAAACCAGGCTTTGTGCCCTTTTATTTATTTTATTTATTTATAGTTTCATTTTTGAAAAGCTATTAAACCGTAACCATTTTAAAGATAATAATCCTGTTGTCTGATTGTTCCTCTGCATTGCTTACTTCTCCCTTTTCTTGAGGTTTATTTGTTTGTTGCTTTGTTTGGCTGTGTTGTCATTTTGTTGTTCCTCTCCTTCCTTCTCCTATGACTCTTAAGCAAGATGTAAAAATTAGACTGAATGAAAACCCATGACCTCTCTTCACTTGAGAACACATTTCACATCTCCAGGCCAATCCACTGGAAAAGCAATTTCTGAAGGATATAAAGATAGGTATGAAGGGAGCTACTATGTCCATGAGTTTATTGTTAGTAGAGCTGGTGTAATTGAACCAGTATCGGACTTGGCCAATGACAACAGTCATTTTGACTACCACTCAATTATTAACTAGAAATACTGGCATAAAACTTATAGTTGGATTTGGAGAAAAGAAAGTCATTCTGTTCAAATGCACCAGGCTAAGCATCCCTGTTATTTTACTTTTCAGGGACTTTAAACCAAACTCTGGTTTCAGAATCAATCTGAAAAAGAAAAAAAAATACATGCAAAGATGAGAATAACATATCTTTTCTTCACTTGTTATTTTCTTTTTAGGAGTTTCTGAAGAGTAATGCTTTTTTGTTGTTGTTACTTCTCGAACTTTTCCTTTTACTTTCATAGTTTCACCTATAGTGTACCCTCCAGATCTTACTTTGCACATAAAATCTTAGGAAGCTCCTTCTCTCAGTCCGCCTATCAGTCGCCATGCTGTCAGCTCTCCACCAATATCTGGTGCTTCCCACTGGTAGACTGGATTCTTGCTCATGCTTATACACCTATTCCTGATCCTCTCCTCTTCACCCAAGTGGGCCACAGATAATAAAGAGAATGCCATCAGCTCATTGATAGTACTATTGAAGTCTCTGCTGGGGAAGGAGTTTCTCTGTAGTAAATACATTGGATTACCCGTGGGTTTAAAATATCTGAGTATCAGTATCCTTCACGACTCCTAATATCACCTACTCACCCAGCCCTAGGACAGGGGAGGGAAGAAATACCAGGAGGCTCCAAAAACTTTATGGAAAAATTTCATTCTCTTTTCATTCATTTATTCGATTAACTTTTTAAAGCCCCCTCATAGCAGTTGCATTGTCTGTCACATATTTGTGAATTGTGGAGGTTGACTAGACTTAGATTTCTTTTCTTTGTAGTCAGCTGTATGTTGGTGTGAGGTAAGTGGCGGGAGGGGTCAGTATAGATGTTGTTGTTAAGTGTCATCGAGTCGGTTCCGACTAATAGCGACCCTGTACAGGGTTTCTGAAGATCAGCTAGTGAGCTTGAACTGCCAACCTTGTGGTTCAAACCTAGGCATCGAGTGCTTATCCTACAGTGCCACACCAAGATAGATACTATTTTGTTAAGCTCAAAGGCAGACAAGAAAGGACTGAATACATCTGCAAATATCCGAGAGTTTCTAGCTCTAGTCCTCCCGGATTCCTCTCTTCTGTGTTTTCTTCTAGTTCTGCCTTCTCCTTCTAACTAGCTTTTGCCTTTTGAATCATCCCTCTCTGGTGCAAAGGGTTAGTGTCAGATATGGGGAGATTACGCAGAAACATGCTCCAAAACACTCAGCCTGTAGATCAGACAAGAAAGACAGGCCACACCTGCTCTTTCTCCTGCTGTGCTTTCTTACTTCAAAATGCTACAACTTGTGCCTTATTTATGTGTACTTATTTATATGTATTTTTAAAACCCTTTCTCCAGATCTTCAACTGAATTAACGTATGTCCCCAGCCTTCAGTAGCTAGATCTCTAGGACTTCCCTCTAGAGAGAGGTACAATCTCTTCTCCTTTCCGGGTTTCTAAAAGGAGGGAAGAACACAGTAGAATACTGAGGAATGTCTTCATCTGCCCAGTCAGTCAGTCAGTCAGTCAGTCACTGAGCACCTGAGAGTTCGGTGTTTCACCTCTTAAGACGTCTCTCTTGCACCCATCTACATAGAGGTTTTAAGAGGAGATGGCAGTGAAGGGAGGGTTGGTTGGCTGAGTGGAGAATGCCTGAAGCTTCCACAGCACCTGCTCCACTAGCCTTGTCTTGTCCCCAACACACGGCTCAGGCACCAGGCACCAGGCATTGTGCACCAGGAAGTGGGAAAGGTGCCTCTACTTGGGACTGATTAGTGATGATGTGTCTGTGATGACTCACCAGTGTGTATTGTAGACTCTATTCCCTGAGGCCAGTGTTGGGATTGAGGAGGATTCTGGGGCTGCTCCATGCCCTCTACCTCCTCACCCTTATCTCCACCCACCAGGTCAGGTGGTATTCCTTAGCTCTCTGACTCCTCTTCACTTGAACTTCACTTACAGGTGGCTGGTTTCCCTTTAGATTCCAGAAAGCCTGCAGTCTCATCCCCAATTCATTTTTATCTCCCTTACTGTTTAACTTGTAACAGTGTTATTGGTCATCCCAACAGGTGAGAGGAAAAACCAGCAAACAGGGCTCCAAACCATCACTCCAACCCCAGTTTTTTAAAACTTACTTTCTATATTGGACTTCACATATAATTGTTTCAGTGAAAGATTGAATTGCTTTTAAAAATAGAGAAGCAGAAGGTTTGAAAGTCACTGATATTGAAGATGTCAGCTGGAGGTATAAGAGTACCTGCTTTCCTATAGCACTCACTAGCAGTTTTGAAGTCTTAGGAGCAGGTGAAATTGTGGGTTGTGTTCATTACTGCATGCTGTGTTATGACTTGGCCAGGGTGTTTATATCAGGGCCAAGGGAAAGGCATTAAAGGGGTTTAGACCCACTTAATCCAAGTTGATTGGTGCTAAGATTTTATGTAGATCAATTAAAACTTGGGACTGACAAAGGGGACATGACAAGTAAAATTCATACACACAGGGTGGAGAATCCAGTCCTCAACTTTCTGTTCTATTGAGTGAAAAGGAGTCCTTTGCCCTCTAAGCTCTGAGCACTCAGTTCTGGGTGGCTTTCCTAGTCTGTCATGGAGTACAGCAAGGTAAGAAGAACCTTAGCCAGCAAAGACACAAGCCTCTCCAGAAAAGAGGGACCAACAGTACTGCTGGTGAGCCATCTTTGCTCAATGTTTTTGAAGGTTCTATATAGAGGTAGAAAGTACTGGAACTGAAAATCCAACCAATTTATATGCTTGGCTCTTTGTGCTGTGCTCTCCTCATAGTCTTGCCTTTTCTCCAAGAATATATTTTTTACTTGAATAACAGAAGAATGAGAGGTATCCAGTCCCACATCCATCACTCCTCCCTATTCTCCCCACCAATTCTGTAATTTCTCCTGCAATGATTCTCATTTCATTTCTGAGGGAAAAATTGGGGACCAGAATAAGATGAGCCACCTCCCAAAAATTCTGTCTTATAGCAGCTTTCTCTCCCCCTGGCCTTTCTCTCCAACCTCTCAGGGATCCTTACCCCAATTCACCAAAGCAAGTTCTACGCCATACCATAGAGGCCTGCAGTTCAAAAAAGCAGACCCAGCCAAGGCTGCTCACAAGAATCCATTCTTATCAGTGACTTCCTTAATTCTGACTGAGTCGAACCCTCCCCTTTTGTGCAGTAAAGCCAAGACTTTGACACTCATGAAGCAGTGCATTTCTCTTCACCCTCTACCTGCCTCTTCAGAAAGGCCATTTGTTATAGCACTGCAACTCTCCCACCCCAACCTTACCCTTCTTCCACATAATCATGCCCCTCCTTCACCGTTTGGAAAACCGCTGGAGCAAGCTGCACAGCTGGGCACAGTTGCTGTATATCAGAGACATGAGAGCATGCATTTGCGTTAGGAGAGCTAGGTCTTCTCACTATGGCCAGGAGGAGGATGTCTTTCAATACACATCTACAACTTCCAGGACAGGGATGGAAGGAGCAGAGTTTTTGCTTTTTTGAGGGGAGGGGCACGGAAAAGCTTGTGAGATCGAGATCTATGCATGTCTCTTGACTGAAAGGGTGGGTTATTGAACTGCAGAGTCTAAGAGTTTTCATTTCTTGCATGCCACTGACACAGTGACAATGGGTTTGGCTGCCTTGCTTCATGGTGTTCATAGTCACTCATCACCCAAAGGGTATTTATTCTGTATAGATGGGCATATGATGACTCTTTGAGGGTTTTTCAACAAGTAACTAATCGTCAATGTTTCATTTTTACGTTTTATGTTCACAAAACGTTTGGCCTCAACATGGAAGCCCACGTGTCTGAACCATGGTTTACATTTGGTCCTCACATTGTACCTGCTTCCTTGCCCTCCACCCAAAAGAACTAATGAATCTTTTTGTTTTCTGTTTTATTTGAAGAGTGAGTTGTTTGGGAATGCTAACTTTGCTTTGGGTTTTCTACTTTTTTTTTTTAATGCAGCTTTTGAAGCATTCTAGTTGTTTGCCATCACTCACTCCACCCCACCCCACCCCACCCCACCCCACCCCAGTGCTTGAACTATGAGCTATGTGATGTTTCTAGTGCTCCATGATCTCTTTGTATGTGTTTGGTTTTGGTGGTTGAGCAGTAGTGTTTGTGGTTTGGATTTTGTTTCTCTCTTCAGACCATCCGTTCCTGATTCTGCTAGACAATTCTCACCTCCCTGTTTTCTCATCCTCCTTTTCCTTCCCCTGGTGTAGATCAAAGTGGTCAAAGCGTTCCATAGTTCCCACCACGAAAACATTATGAAATCAGCGAACCAAAAGTCCATCCATAACTTCATGACCCACCCTGAATTCACCATCGATGAGGAAGGGCCACGAACACCAGTCCTGGAAAAGCAAGAGGAGGAGAATTCTGAAAAGGCCTTTAAGTCTGGGCCAAGGGTGTTCCAGATTGATGACGAGATCACTCCATATGCCAACAAAAACAACAACGCCGTGGATCACAACCAAGTGCAGATCGTTACCTCCCACTCAGACAGCCCTCTACACAGCCTGGAAACATCAGTTTGAACTCTGACTCTCTGGCTTCTGCACCTGTTTTGTCTATTTCCTTTGTCATCTATCTTGTCTATAAGGTAATGATGGGACGA